AACCCGAAACCCTAAACCTTCAACTCTAAACGGAGCGCTCAGGTGACGAACCTCCTTTGGGCCTATGCAACGGTCTGCAGGAATCGAAAGAACAAGATGGGGAAACTTGGCTTTGGTTTAAGGTTTAGGGTTAGGGTTGAGGGTTTTGGTCTTATAGCAAATCTTTTGCTTCACCTATGAAGGTACCCCATTCCTGAGTCCTTACAGACCTTACAGGTACTGGATGGGAACCTTCATAAAACCTCCATGATAGAACCCGTTATTTCGCATAGGGTAGCTTAAATTGCCCCTGTACCCCACAGTTCTGAAGCCCTAGCCAAACCCTAAATCTCAAAAATGCCAATTTCATCCGGGCTCAGGAAAGGACTGGAGGCGGCGGTGGCGGAGCTCATGAAGGCTTCCTTAGCATTCCTGATGCCCGAAAGGGTTCGGGCCTGGAAGCCGCAGATCTTGATGTCTGCCCCTGAGTGCTCTTGAGGGTTTAGTGTTTAGGGCTTCGGGCTTCGGGTTTGGGGTTTAGGGTAAGGTCCCTTGAAGGAGGCCATGACGCTCTGACGTAGATCACAGGGGTATGTCTTGCTTGTCTTTAAGCCCTAAAAGCCCTAAACCAAGGTCTGCCCTGGTGTCTTTGGTGGGGCTTCCGTGGCAGCCCTCCAGCCAGAAGGTCGTGTCTGATATCCTGGATGCACTAGCCATGCAGCAGGTCGGGTAGGGTTTGGGGTTTAGGGTTTAGGGTTTAGGGTTTGCGGGTTTAGGGTTTAGGGTTTAGGGTTTGAGGTTTAGGGTTCAGGGTTTGGGGTTTCGGGCTTAGGGTTTAGCGTGACCCTGTGCGACAGACGTGTTTGTCATGCTGGTTCGGGTTGACCGCTCGTTTGTGCCTGACGCTTGGTAGCCGCTGTAGCCACACCGTTGTGGTCACTGGCAGGGGCAGCTCCTCGCAGAGAACACTCGTCCAATTTCAATTTTCTTCGAGGAGCTTCGCAAGAGACAGGCGCAGGCGGGACGACCCTGAACCCTAAACCCTAAACTGGGATTTTGCAGTTCAGACCACAGTTCTGGATCATCCTAAAAGGGGCCCGGACCAAGGCTACAATGCTGAAATACGAATACTTTAGAGGGCTCGTCGGCTTGAGTCTGCCAGGTGGCCCTGGACATCGTACAGGCTACTTCTCAGAAATGGCCAGGCTTCATGCAGCAATTCGCTCGTGGAACCTGTCACAAAGGGCACGGTCGAAAGAATCGGAAAGCCTAAGATGCCGATCTGCCCCAAGCTGTGAGGTGCAGTAGGCCGACTTAGGTCGCATTGAGGAATTTCAACACGTCTTGTTCCCAACACTGGCGTGCTGTGTAGTGCGCGCAGTGTGCCATTTGCAGCAGTTGTTTGTATACAACTGCAGCAGCTGTTTGTATACAGCTGCAGGACAGATGTTGCGCTGCAAAGCATGCAGCCGACTGTAGTCTCCTACATGCCTGCACCCCACCCCACCGCCTTTCTCCCGCAACCCTAAACTCCGTAAGTCTGTCATTCCCCACAAACTTTAAGCCCGAAACCACTAAATTCCTAAACCCCGACACCCAAACTAAGCCGTATATCCCCAAACCCTAAGCCTCTAAACCCGTAAACCCTTCAGAACGGGCCACCCTGGGAGTGC